CTAAATGTTATCTTATAAATGATCAAAATTAACTATAAGATCTATAAAGAAAAAATTTTATGATTATGAATTTATTTTAAAAATAGTACTACTATCTAAAAGGTGCTTTAAGTCTAGTGATTATATATATAAATCACAAAAAAAATAAGTATTTCATGTTAATATGTATTTTAAATCATTGCCAAATAAGTTGGAACATGTCTTTGTGAAGATTTGAATTTATGATTTGTTATCAACTTTAAAAATAAAAAATTTTATTAAAAACCTTTTTTAGATATTTTTATCTTATATAAAAGTAAAAAATGTAAATTTTGATCAATAATAAATAATTCTTTTGAAGCCAAAATATTTACATCTTTAAAAAATAAAATTGATATTAATAAATAATTTAATTTATCTTCATTAAGTTTAATTAAATATTTCCTTTGATCTTTTTATTCAAATTACTAAGATTATTCTTTTTAAATTTCATGATTTTTCTAAATTTTAATTTAAGAACAATCTACTCCATTTTGAGAGATGCTTGTGTGTTCTAAAAGGTAAAGTATGACTACATGTTTTTCAAGATTGTCACAATTTCCTTATTGTAAGATATTTTGGATACAATAAGACCTTAGAATTAATATCTAAAGATATTTAGTAGTATCAAATGTGAAAGAAAGTTGTAAACCTTGTACAATTATGTAATACTTGTTTAACATCAAAAATTCTTTGTCATTGATCTTATAAACGTTTTTAGCTATTATTTATACTAAAATAATTATGGTCTTTGGTTTCTATGGATTTTATTAAAGAAATTTTAATTTCAAATTCTTGTGACTGTATATTTGTGATATTAGATTGTTTCATGAAGATGGTATATTTTGTATTATATAAAAAACTATCACAAGTGAAAAAATAACAAAAAAAATTATGCCAATATTTATTAATATCTTAGAATATCACATAAAAATATCTTTGGCTTTCCATCTTCAAATTGATAGACAAATAAAGTAAATGAATGAAGTTTTAGAGTAATATTTAAAATATACTATTAATTACTCTCAAGATGATTTGAAAATTTTTTTGCCATTGAAAAATTTTGTTTACAATAATAAAATATATTCTTCTATTCAATAAATATCTTTCTTTATTAATTATGATTATTATCTACAACTTGATATTTTTGATTTTTTAAAAATTAATAATCCTATAGTTAGAAGATTTGATAAATTATTTATCAAAGCTATATGCAACAATGAAGACACAATTAAAAGAAGCTTAAGAACAACAAAAATCAACACAAATGTCCATTAAAAAAAAACCCTCAATTCTACATAGGCAACAAAGTATGATTATTTTGTCATAATATCAAGAGTAGCATGATATAAGCTAAATTACCATTATCTAGAACCATTTCTTATTTTTAAATATATCAATCTATTTTCATATTAATTTCATCTATTGGAATCTATAAAGATCCATCTTATATTTGACATGTTTCTTCTTGAGCCATACAAAACAATCAATATATCGAGAAGGAAACAAATGCCATTTCTTTCTATAGAAATGGATAATAATCAAGAATTTAAGATTGAAAAAAATTTAAACTCAAAGAAAGTCCTAAATAGATTAGAATATCTTGTATATTAGCATAGATATGGTATTAATGAATGCAAACGAGAGCCAACTAAGAACCTTGTAAATGCAACAAAAAAAATTGATACTTTTCATCAAAAACATCTATCAAAATTAAAATAAAGAAGCAAGCAATTTCTTATTATAAAGAAAACAAGATTCAATGAAGACTAAATTTTCTTCTCTTTTTTTGTTTGTAGTTTTTATATATTTTTGGTGCCAAGGAGATAAAAAATAAAATAATAAATTCAACTAAAGAGCTATTATTTTTTTAATTATCAAATAACAAATTGAAATTGCGACAACCTTCAAGATGACAAAATAGAGATGAAATTTCACAAGAATAATATATTTTCTTTTAAAAAGATGGTGAAATAAAATGTGTTTGATATCACAACCTTGAAAAGACTTTTAATGTGTTGTAATATTATTAAAAGTTAGAACCACTATTCATAGTTATTCTAATATTTTATTTGAAAGAAGCTACAAGAGCCTCAATAATAATCAAATACCAAAGTGATTTTTTTAGATAAAATTATAAAATTATATTTTTATCTATAAATAATGATTATTAATTTTTATTTTATTTTTAGTTAAAACAATTTTTAAAAATATAATTAAATATATTATTTTTTATTTATAATTAAATTTTAAAGATCTTATTTAATTTTAAAGATTCTAAAAAGAAATACTAATTATTTTTTTATTATAAACTTACATTTATAATTCTTCTTATTAAATAAATTATTCATGTATTTTATTTATAGATTCTAAAACTTTTACATTATGACAAGATATAGGATACTAATTGATTTAGTTAATCCATAAGAAAGAACTTGAACTATTAATAACACATATTTTCTTTTGTTATCTTATAATATAAATCTAAATTCAAATTTTGCATCCATTTAAGATAAAATATAATACAACAAGATCAAAGAAGTTAAAATGATTATATCTAGAGACTTAGCTTTGTCTAAAATACAAAAATGTGGTTAAAGAGTTTGTTAAAATTTATTGATATAAATTCTTTTAGCCAAAAAAAATCTATTTTTATTATTTTAAAAAAAATAGTTATTATGCTTATTGCATAATAATCATCTAAAGTTATGCTTTAAGTCAAGTAATAAGTTTTTTTAAATATAATATTTTATAAATTTATTTAAATTATCATGTTTTTATATTTTTATCCATTTAAGTTAATATTTTTTAAAAAAATAGCTAATTAATAATAGAGTTCAGATTTAAAAAATGTAATAACAATAGTTCTATTTTTATCAAATAAAATAAATTAAAGTTATATAAATTAGGATTTCTTATGCAAGGTGTATATTTCTTTTATATGGTAGACATTCAATCATATAAATATAAATATAAATATAAATATATATATATATATATATATATATATTTAGATTACAAAATAAATAATCACATATTTTAATTATTCTCTTTAATGAAATTCTTTTTCTTTATTTTCAAATAAGATTTACATTATGTTCATCTAAAATAAAGAAATATTTATATTTAAACTTTATTTTTAAGGATCCTATAAATACTTGGTATGTGATTATAAGCACTTTATGTAGGATAATTATTTATCACTTATAGCTTCAAATAAGTACAAAAGAATGATTATATAAGAACAAATTTTAAGTAAGCATAGAAAAATAAAATTAGAACAAGATATTTACAATGATTTATTAATTTGATTACATAGAGTTTTGAAATATATATAAATACATAGTAAACAATCCATATTTATTTTATAGAGTTGGAATTTAAAAATAACTTAAATAAATGATAATAATTTATTCAATTATAATAAAAAAATATATATAAATTAAGTTATATCATTAAGAAATAAAAATTGAAGAGTTATTATTTATGTTAAACATGCATAAAACTAGACACTACAGTTCTAAACAAATTATAGATCTAAGAGACAAACTATGATGTTGAAATAATAATAGAAGTTATTATATTAAAAGAATTAAACAATGAATTCTCTAAATCAATTTATTTTAGAACAATCAAAGTATTTTTAATAAGATAGATAATATGATTGCAAAGAAATATATAATATTTAACAAAGTTACAAAGATAGTAAGGTCATTAATACAATGTATACATTGATATAAAAAATAAAAATAAAAAATTTAATCCATAATCTTAGCAAAAGCTAGCTAATTAACTTATTCACATAATACTCAAAACAATAAAAATAAATAAATAAATAGAAGTACAATCTTCAATACTCTCAATTTAACATTGATAATATAAAAAGGAGAATGTTAAATAGATCTACGTTTTTATAAAATAGACCCATTCTTGATGGTAATCATAATACATGTTGGTTTTTATTGGTTGCAAATCCAATCCAATAGTGGAGAAATGAATCTAAAAGTTATTTTTACTTTTCATGATGGTTAGGATGGGTGGGTCGATTTAGCATTCTCTTATAAAAAATAAAAAATCCTATAAATATGCAACCACAAACTTCAAAATAATAAACTTAGATGAAGACTATAAAAATATGGTCTACATGAAGAAAAAATCATTAAATCAAAAGTTTAAATCCCCACAATATCTAATTCTTTTTAAGTGGGCAATGACATCAAAGTGCGAAAGAATGGTAGGTTGACACTGTGAAGGTGGTGGTTCAAATCACAACAGTGAAATCCTGCAATCATCTAAATTTTGGTGACAGCACTGGAAGGGCTTAGTTAGTTTGAGCTTAGGAAGTGCCAAAAACGGTAAGAACGCGCCATAGCGCAATTAGTGAGGGTGGCATCGATTCAGTTGCTCTTTTGGTTAGAGCCTACTTGTCCACAGCTGCAGTCTTTAACAATTCCCTCAATCGAAGATACCCATGTTTCACGTACTCTTCACTACCGATTCTCACCTTCGGATTGTGCCCGCAGAAACCTGAACTGAATTCCACCGGAGACTGCAAAATTATCAGAGGGATATGTTTTTTCTCGGTCCCGCTGACTGAAATCAGAATTGCCGCATCTGAGTAGGTAGCTGCCGACAGTGGGACGGTGACCAGGTGAAGAGACCCCGGCTGGTTTCCTGATCTCGCAGAGTTCGCTTTCGCCGTGTGGTTTCATGCCTTGTCCAGGGGTCCTCCATGCGACTATTCCTCGTCATGTGACGTCGCAGTTACTCTCCGCTGAAGACAAGGTTCAGCAGGTTTGTGGCTTCGTCTTCGTGACCGCTGCGTAAGAGATTTCAGCGCAGCATTTGCCTCCCTTTGACTGAATGCGTCGTTTCTCTACGTTTAAGCTTGCACGCAGATTACAGCCATCTTGATTTGGTAGGCACAGTTCGGCTGGTTTTGAGCCTGTATATGTCGGTGCTGAGCTCGACAATTGTGAGACATGGAGTTTTGGAATGCACCCTCTCGACGTAAATGCGGACAATGGAGCCTGGTGATCATTGTGGTGGCGATAGGGCTCAGTTCATTGCAAGCGGTTGATGCAGGGCTAGGGGAGTGGAGGCTAGTGACAAAAAATGCTGGTATTTCAGCAATGCACGCTGCAGTGGCACCTGTCTTGGGGACAGTGGTGCTTCTCCATCAAACTAAAACGGGACCCTCCAACATCACATTCCCAGGTGTGACGACCTGGATTCTTTGCTGAAGTTCCACTGTGCCTTTGCAGCGAATCTTCTAGCATGTCATTCTAATTGCAATTAATATTCGTGGGAACCCGGGATAGATTTTAGTTAATGGTCCCTGGTGTGTTGGGCAATGCAAGTGGATAACGAGCAACCGATAGCACTCTCAGCGAATTTGTATGTGAAACAGATGGAAGGTGCAGAAACATCACCTACGATCTACTTTTAAAGACTGTTTGTTATGTTCATTCTGTCATCCTCGATCCCACGAGTGAGGTGGTGCGGCCAATCATGGTCATGACAGACACGCAGGGTTCATCTGGTCAATTCCTAGGCGAGGGCTCTCTCAGTCAAACAGGAGGCGACCTTGAAGGGAAGAAAAGGACAAGGTGAACATTGCAGTAGCTAAACAACCCCAGTCAACATCCTTCATTTCCACATAATAATTACATTCCATATTACGAATACAACTAACGAAGGTTCTTTCTGAATAAATCGTATCCAGCAACCTGTCCACAAAGTGCTACACAACGGTGGCGCAAAGAAGATATTGCGACTGGGTCGAGGGGGGTAATGGCACAGATCTATTAGAGCAGCGGTGGTACTTCACCAACCAGCTTCTCCCTGATGGTCGCCAGATCATTGTCGGGGGACGCCAAACTTACACACTCGAGAACTACCCACATACGCTTCACCGTCACCGAAAGCAGGACTCATAAACCTTCAGCTCCCAAGAGACACTGATGACGGAAGAGGATCCAGCCCTAACAATCTATACCCCTTTGTCCATCTCCTGCCAACAGGGCAACTTTACATCTTTGCCAACAGAGACTCTATCCTCTACGACTACAACCAGAACGTGGTGGTGCGGAAATTCGACAAGATCCCTGACAATCCGAGGAACTACCCTAGTGGGAGCTCGTCGGTAATGTTGCCGCTGGTCTACAATGACAACTTCAAGAAAGTTGAGATTCTAGTTTGCGGGGGAGCCGCGACTGGCTCCGTAGGCAAGAACGAGGGGCAGATGGAGTGCTCTACAAGCTGTAGAAAGCTTGACGTCTTGCGAAAGAATTTCACTTGAGTAATGGAGACCATGCCCATGCCTCGCTGTATGGGGGATATGGTCATTCTCCCCAATTTGAATGTGATGCTCATAAATGGCGTCAAGAGAGGTGAGTGCAGTTCTCTTGCTCTGAGTTCAAAGTTTCTGTAAAAGCACTGAAACTCTTTTGTCTAAGAAGCAACATGCATTGTTAAATTCCCTATCCATATGCATTGACTGGCTACGTCACTTGACTTCCTTCTTGAAGATTACCAAGGTTGGAAGAGTGGCTCTGAGACAATTCTCAATCCAGTGCTTTACAACCCTCGGAAGGTCGCCGGCAATAGATTCACGGTTTTGAACCCCACTCAAACTCCTCGAGTGTACCATTCCACAGCCAATCTCTTAACTGTAAGTCTTGGGATCAATTTAAGGAACCACCCATTTCATTCCAATCCATCATGCTGTACGTCACGACCTGTGCATGGAGCATGTATATATTTGGACGTCACGGTTGGGTAGGACTGATCGTGAGCATCTCTGGATTGATCGTATGATTCCTCAGGATGGCAGTATCATGGTGGCTGGCAGTAACACACATCAGTATAGAAGCTTCCAATCAATGAAATCCAATGTCGATTTTCCAACGGAGCTGAGCGTAAAGGCATTCATGCCTCCATACGCCGAAAACAAGCCCAATTCAGGAGGAAGACCAGTGATTATATCAGTCAATGCAACCAATGTGAAATACCGAGCAACAATTGAAGTAGTGTTCTAGAATTATCCTTCCGACGAGTCTTCAACAGGACCTTCACCACCATCTCCATTTTCACCGCCGCCAATGCGAACAGTATCGAATCCTGACAGTTTCGTCTTCACAATGACCAGCTCCTTTTGGTCGTCGCACTTGTTCTCTTTTGGCCAGCGAGTAGTGACCCTCAATCCCTTGAACATCACCACCCAGCCTGAAAGCAGGATGGAGAATGGACGGTGGGTGAATGCGCGAACGGTGCAGCTGCGCATCCCATCGCACTACACCGTTCTCCCTCGCACTTACTACATGCTGTGGGTGGTGAAGAATGGCAATCCCAGCTCCTCTTGCGCTTGGATTCGGATCCGTTAGCTCGACGACACCAGAATTCCACAACCTTTCACTGCTCGATCACGTCTGATAAGGATCAATCGTGATGGATCTTCAAAAGCTGTTGCTTACTTGTTCAGAGATTTGTTTTATTTTTTATTTTTGTCGGCATAGAAATTGCTGGTTACATTGATCAGGCGGTAGTGGATGCAGCCTAGTTAGTGAGTGGGCTGAAGGACCCCAAAATTGAGGTTATTGCCTCAAAAATGACTCATTTTTGTATAAGTTTAGACCCTAATTAATTTTCTCTATGATATATTGTTAAGTTTCATTTAATTTATTTCTAATTCACACACCATGAATCACTTTTTGATCCATTTTTATCTTATTTATCTCAATGCTTATTCAATTTTTCCTTTCCCATCCTGGTATCAAGTTAAAGTATGTCTATTTATGCACGTATTAAAATTAAACAAGCAAGTAATGGTTTTCCTATTAATGATATATGTATATGTATGTGTATATACATATACAAATACTTTTACTAAAATTTATCTCTTGTTTAAAAAAAAATTAAGAATGTTCAAGTATGGTAATAAATAAATCATTTTCAAATATATATAGAGATTGAATTTAATTCTTTGTAAAAGATGCTACTTCATGTTGAACACTAAGCAATTAAATCATTATTTATAAATAGTGATTGATTTAGTTTTATCATGTAAATTAATATGAACTTTTTTTAGCTCTATTTTTATGTTATAGTATATTCTAATTAAAGTTTATTAAAGTTAAAAAGAAAGTAGGGAGTTCTAGTCCATTTAATAATTTAAATAAAAATAAAACTATTTTTTTATATCTTTTATAATATTTTTTTATATTTTTTAGAAACATATTATTTTATATTATAAGAACTTATCCAAAATAATTTCATTAGGATCTTAAATAAATTATAAATTTGACCATAAAAGATGATATTTTCTTTATTTAGAAGCTATATTATTTAATAAATTAAAATATTAATAGAAAGAAATAAAAAATACAAGATTTCTTCCACTCTCAAATGTAAGATTTTTGTGGATACTACAAAAACAAAGTTTCTTATATTCACAGAATCAAGACCACCTCTGTTATCAAATGGAATACCTTTCTTTGTTTTATATTGGCATGCCTTTTAGATTGAATAATATTCTAAGCTTTCTAAGCATGTGAGAAGAAGACACCTAGAGTGATGTGGTGTATATTAATCTTACTAAAAATAATAAGAAATACAATCAAATTTATTAGTTTTTGGAATAACTTGACCTTCTTTCATGTACCAAATTTGCAATACAAACTAGAGGTTTCTAGTACAAAGAATAATGTTAGGCAATAAGAGCTTGGGCATCTAAGTTAGATTTCAAGTCTGTAACTTATACCATCTATTAAAGCGTCAACAAAATAGGCTTGACTTAGGCATGTAGTCAGCTTTGAATTTTGGTTTGGTTATTGGATCTCTTTCAATCCATTGCAATAAAGGTTTGAAGTTGCTTTTCTCAGCTTCCATGGAGGTCATATTGTTGAGGTATAATGAACTTGCAATTGATGGAATTATAACTGCAAAGATTACACTATTTTAATTTCGATGTATTAGTTGATACCATCAAAGTTTTTTTCTTAGATTGCTATTGCTCATTTACCAAACAAGATAACTTACAATAGAGCCACTTCTTTCTTAGAACCATTAATAGCTTTATAGCATCTGAAAAAAAATATTAAAATACTATCTAAATGAATAAAAATAAAAATATTTAATCAAATAAAAAATTATAAAAAATTAAAATTAAAAATTAAAAATATGTTAGATTTGACTTCTTTATTATGACTTCTTCAATGCAAAATAAAGTATGTGAAATGCTAATATACAAAGAGAGTAGCATACTCATTATTGTCGCTCTTATATTACATCCTAAGATGTCTAAACTTAGACTTGTAATATAGTTTGAAGTAAAAGATTTATCTTCACCATATATTGGACACCATGACTTTAATGACACTTTTTACTTGTTATACATATTTTTATCATTAGTGCTTAATATATTTGAATAAAAATTCCAAATCATCTTAAAGACATCAACTTATTGTTATAAAGCCAAAGATATAGCAAATACATAAATTATCTAAAAATATGAGCTAAAAAAAGATAAAATTATATTTAAATGAATTGATTGTTTACCATCTGAGTTGAAAGTTTTGAGACATATTATGGGATTTGTAGAGTCATCTAAAAGATGAAGATTCTAATATAATGGATATATATATTTATTCCAATAATTATGAATATAATTATATGAAAGAAGATAAATTTATATATTTTTAATTGATTGATAGATTAGAAACTTGATCAATAACATAAATACATACCATAAATATTGATAGCTTACAGAATAAGCTTATAAAGTGGGGAACATATAGAAAATTTGCCTTGCAAGTTAGTACATGTGTTCAATAAAGTCAATACATATTGAAGGTCCTATAAAATATTGCCGAGTAGTTCCGAATTAGATTTTAAATATAGAAGCAAAAATAAAGCCTTTTTGACTCTTTTCAATACTTTTTTAGTCTTTACTCTTATTTCGAGACTTTTTAGTCTTCTTATCTTTGGCAATAGCCATTCTTGTTTAATATTATATCATCTTTGAATGATTTTTTAATCTTTTTAAATGACACAAGACTATATTGATCTTTTAGTTTTTTAATGTCCATGTTCTTAAAAATTTGATAAGAATGCTAACTTATTATTCTTATCTTGTTTTAAAAGTGAATGAGTTTTTCCACTTCTATCGTTGTATTTTGAAGGTTATGGACTATCCACCATTAAACAAATAGTTTAGTTTTTTATAACTGATTTTTTTTTTTTTAAAGAGAGTGGATTATTCCTCTTTGTAGAAATTTATATTTGATATTAGAGTTTGAAGATTACTCTTGTGTAATTTAACTTTTTGAATTTTTTGAATTATCTATAGAAGGAAAGATTATGGATGTTACTCTCAATAAAAATAAAAATATATTTGCAACTATTATAAATCTTCATGAGCTTATCAACACTCTAAGAATAAAATTCTTACATATTTCTAACATGAATCATAGAGGTACTATTCATAGACATATGGAAGAAGTCCAAAGTCTATGCCAAGAATTTGTAGAAATAAAAGAAGCAAGTAGATCAGCTTCACAACCAAATTGAAGAAGTCTTATTTCTACAAGCACAAGGGAGGCAAAGATTAGTATGCCTAAGAATTTTGATGGAATAAGATCAAAATTTTGAGGATTTTTGTAATAAGTTAAGTTTTATTTAAGATTGTATTTTTTCCAATAGCTCAATGGATTTACTCAAGTTGGATTTGTAGGCATATTTCTATTGAAAAGTACTCTCTCTTTGTTTGCATCTTTGATGGAAAAAGGTTCACAACTATTTTTTGATTTAAATTCATTCTTGAAAGTATTTATAGCTAAATTTAGAAAAAATAATTAAAAAAAAGATGATAAAAATTGAGCTTATATTTTTATATTAAGATTTGTGCCTATATTATGGAAAATCCAAATACACTATTTAACATTATTCAAAGAAGTAATGCAATTGCAAAATAAAGAACATGGTTACCAAAGAGCATAATATATTGAAAAACAAGTTTTTCCAGCTACAATAGGAATTGTGAAACTGAAATTTTCTTTAATACCTAACAAAGATCATATTCTCTTCTTAGATTTCTTACCTTGTTTCATCATAGATGTTTATTTAGGACCAAAAAATCACAAAATCTTAGCCTTGTTAGATTTAAGAGCCATAGCCTATTTTATAAATGAAGACTTTGTTAAAAAATAAGAAATTTTGTTAGTGAAGAAAATTAAATTTGTACTGGTAGAAGTTATTGATGGTTGTTTACTATCTTTTAAAGATATTATCTATGAGATTTTT